TGCTGGCCCCGAGACAGTTTATTTATAGGTGGTTCTCAGCCACCCTAACGCTGCACCCTTTACTACAGTTCCTCATGTTCTGGAGACCCCCATCCATGAAATGATTCCATTGCTACTTCTTAACTGTAATTTCGCTACTGTTGCGCTATGCAGGATACATACAACTCCCACTGACTTAGAGCAAATTAACACATCATTGAGGATTTGTTGAGTGCATCTTACGTAAGCTTGACTGAGACCTGGAGACTTGGCTACTTGGGAGGCAAAGGCAGGAAGCTCCTGTGATGAGAAAAAGGGCAGATGGGCAACTTAGTGAGACTTGTCTCAAAATTAAAGGGAAAAATCTCCACTAGAGGGATCGGGACTGTAGCTCCGCTCTAGAGCCCTGGCCTGTCACACACCAGGCGTGGATTCAACCCCCAGAACACAAAGAAGAGAGCGAAAGAGAGAGCGAAGGAAAGTGCTTTCACTTTTAAAGCTTATTTTAACTCTCTGTTTATAACCCTAGGTAAACAAAGAGAGAAGGAAAGATTGTACTTCAAAGTTACAAAGGTGTGCGTGTGTGCGTGTGTGTGTGTGTGTGTGTGTGTGTGTGTGTGCGTGTGCATGCGTGCATGCTCACATGCCCCTATTTCACGGCCTACTCGGAACCAAGCCTGGCTCTCCCCTGTTGCATTGTGGGGTGGGAAGCACTTCCCTTCAGCTCGCCCCGCCCATTGCTCTCCCAAGTTGTCCCTCCTGTCCTCCATAGTTGTCCAGCACTGAAGCTAATGGCATTTACAGCCTGTTCCAGCGCCGTGGTGGTGTCTCTCTAGTCTGACTGTAGATTATTAATTGTGTGACTATTAGTGAAAACTGAGATATATACACAGCATTCACGTTGCTTTTGCTCTGCAAAGACGATCCTCGTTGTGACCACATAGTATTCAACAGTGGAGCTTCTAGTTTGTAAAGAAGTTTGTTTTTTCTGGAGCTTCTAGATGCCTTGCTTTTCCAAAGGGGTGTGCAAATGTGTGTATGTATTAACTACATATAAAATTTAAGTTTATATATATATGTGTGTGTGTGTGTGTGTGTGTGTGTGTGTGACATTAGTGCATTTAAATGTACTAAAAAACACACACACACACACACACACACACACACACACACACACACACACCCTCATGAGGCACTCCCGGCACAAACTTGAATGTTCTGCTGAGGAACAGCCCACCTGTAAATTGTAGAACTAAAGCAGTATCTGAGAGGATGGGTGATATGTGAAGAGAAGTGAGTTCAAGGCTCCTCTGTCACACAGAACATTACCCATTTATGCTGAAAGTTGGTGAATTAACACTAACAGTGGACGCACAGCATTAAATTCCTAAAAAGCTTTCGAAGCGCTCACGCTCGGTCAACAGGGAGGAGTTGTCTCATTTTAGTTTGAGTGTGTTAAACCTGCGTGTATATACTTTAATTAAAAACCTGAGGAGCTGAGGATGATGCTTAGTTGGTAGAGTGCTTGTCTGACATTCCCGAGGCCCTGAGTTCTGCCCCCGGCACCACAGAAAACCACGCACATTGGACATGCCTGTAATCCTAGTGCTGGAGGGTTGGAGGCAAGATTAGAATCTGAGAGTCATCTGTTCTAGTTAGCCTTCTGTTACTGTGTCAAGTGCCTTGGGAGAGAAGCAACTTGCAGAAGAAAGGGTTTCTTTGGCTCAGATATCCCAGTCATAGTCCATCACTGAGGGAAGTCGAGGCAAACACTGAGGCAGGAGCAGAGGCAGGAGCCATGGAGGAAAGCTGCTCACTGGATCACTGTCAGCTGCTTTTCTTATGCAGCCCAGGCCCACCTGCCTAGAGATGGCACCACCCACAGTGAGCTGGGCCTTCTTATATCAACTAGAAAGCAAGAAAAAGCTGCCACAGACATACCCATGGGCCAATCTGATGGAAGCAATCCTTTCCTGAGGCTCCTTCTTTCAAGATGGGTCAAGATGACAACCAAGATTAGCCAGCATATCATGTCAGAGTGCCTAAAAATAAATAAGTAAGTAAATGAGTAAATAAATACATAAATGAGTAAATAAATAAAATTGAAGAAGTGCTTTTACAGGAAGAAAGCATATCAGAACAATGTGCTATAATGAGCACTCTCCTTGCTGTCGGGATGTCTGGATTTCAATTACTTAAGCACAATTTTATTGCATTGCTTTACAGTTTCAGCAGTGACCACGTGGGCGCTGCAATCAGGATTTGCTCAGGCCCTGCTTTGACCTTGCCGAGGTCAAGGTGCCTTTCTGGTGGCCTTGTGCAGACACTGCAGTTATGACCTGCAGTCCTTTCCCCTTCTCTCACCGGTGTCCTGTGTGTTCGTAGCATCATCTGAAAGGATGCAGGAGCTGAGGCAGGGGGCCCGGGGTCGAGAACAACAGGCTGACACACGGTGACCTTGAGAGGAGCAAGTCCTCCACTGATCCTTTGCCCCGTTGGGCGAGGGTGCCCTGCAGTACCGGATCTGTGTGTGCTTAAGGCAAGACGCCCAGTAAATGGCCCACGTCCTCGTGAACCCAGGATGGGAGGCGCCTCTGCTGGCACTGCCACCCAGCAGCGTCCAACTTCACCTGCTGTTTAGAGATACGTCTCCCGGCGGGGGTGGGAGCTGCCCATGCCTGTACCCTCCTCCTGCCAAGGACAAACCAAAGCTCCCACTGAAAGCTCACAGGCAGGTCGTGGGGGAGGGGCAGCTGACCTGGAAGTGTGGATGTAGGCTTCCCTGAGGCTGCATAGACGGAAGTCCCTTCCCCTCATCTCCCCCAACCTGTATATTCTAGCTACACACACACACATACACACACACATCCTGACCCCAAAACTGTACACAGTCAGGACATAGTAGCACACAGCTGGCTGAGAGAAGTGACTGGATACTCAGATACAGCTCCCATGATCCTCTCTACTTCTAGGCGGGAACTGAGCAGTCAACAATCCCAGCTGGAACCATTTGCCAGCAGGCACAGCTGGGATTATGAAAGATGGCTGTGGTTCTGCTTACAAGACATTGCTGTGCAATGGTGCATGCTGTATGGTCTCTCTGCTTGGCCTGGGCAAGAGGTTCCAGCTCCGACCATCTTCCCCAGGGGGTGACCTCCACCGAGCCTGGGCTCCCTCTCTGCTGTGGTGGCTGTGCGGTGATTAATGACAATCGGGCGCGTTGCTCGGTGACCCCTCTGCTCCCGCTGCTGCTCTCCTTCACTCCTCATAACCATTTGCAAACATTAGCTCCCTGTGCCATTTCTCCTCATCAGCGACTTTCACAGGTGACAAGCCGGCTGCTCCTCAGATTGGCGGTTAGTATACGCTCCGGCCTTCAGACTGGCTGACATCTGGCAAGCCATCGCTGAAGTTTCTGAGGGAGGGTGCCAGCAGGAAGAGTCTCAGGGGATCCCAGAGGGAACTTTAGGGGCCTAGGGTTTGGGGAAGGCCCAGGCTGCCTGTGTGTTTCCCAGGAACTTAAAGGTGTGTGAAAAGAGACCTCCCATTGTTAAATCAGTGTATATGTTTAAGAAAGTGTGCTTGCTGGCCCTGCCTGCCCCAAGTACTTAATCACCATTATTTACATACGTGTGTGTGCTATGTGCTAATACGCTTGTGCACATGTGCAGGGGTGGGGAGGTGGTACACATATGTGTCCGTGTATGTATACGTTACTAGCAAGTCCTTTCCTTAATCACCCTCCGCCTGATTGTTGAGACAGAGACTCAGAGATCCACCTGCCTCTGCCTCTGCCTCCCGAGACTAGCATTCACTAGCACTAGCTCCCGCTTCTTTTCTTCTTCTTAAAAAGAGAGACAGGGTCTCGCTTTGTCCTGGAACCTGCCACATAGGCCAGGCTGACAGGCTTTGCCCAGAGCCCCAAGGATCTGCTTGTCACTGCCTCCTTGGGGTTAGAATTCTGCACCACCATGCCTGGGTTCTCTAGTCTAGGAATTGAACTTGGATCCTCACGCTTGCAGGACAAGCACTGACTTAGCCAACTGCTCCATCCCCCTCCTCTTTATATGCACCTCTAATCTAGAACCAGTTCCTCCTTAAGAAAGGAACAGCAACTCAGCCCCGAGAAAAGCCTGTGCAGATCAGAGGATCCTCTTTTCTCTGACCATCCCTCTCCATGGCTGTGTACACACAGGTCAGAATTCTGAGTAGTCACAACTGTCCGCATGCTACCTCTTCACTGTGAGGAACCAAAAAGGGCATTTGCTTTTGTTTTTATTCCCAGTCTCATACATCCGGGGAACCACAGAGGCTGATTCAGTTACCCCCATGCCTACTGGAGTTCCCAATTCATTACATATTTGTCCAATTGATCTAATTAGAAAATAGTGAGCATGTTAGGCTGTGACAAGGGCAACTTCTGGGAGGAAGCATTTATTCTGGCTCTCAGTTTGAAGGCAAAAGTCCACCATGCCGGCAGAGCATCCACAGACAGGAAGCAGACTGCTGCTGGAGCTCAGCTTGCTCTCTCTTCATAGTCAGCCCAGAATCCCAGCCCTGGGTGATGCCATCCACACTCTGGGTGGGTCGGCCTACCTCTCTTAGCCTACTCTAGAAACCCTCTCACAGAGGGGCACATCGGTTTGTTTCCATGGCAATTATAAATGTCATCAGGTTGACAATTAAGATTAACTGCCACCATGGGTCTGCCAGGTGATCTCAATAAGCAAACGCTTAGATCAATGGAAAAATAAATAAATAAAAGGAAGCATTCTGGAAAACACCAAGGCCCTGAAAGCCTGCTACTGCACACTGCCCCAGTGGTGGCAGGTGGCCGGCAGACAAAACTGGCTGTGCCCAGACTCTATCGCATGCCCTCTGACAGGGGCCAGAGGCGGTGTGAACATACCCCCCTCCCTGAGCTTCTCGATGTCATCTTAAAGGCCTTGCCTCCGTCCCTCCCCAGTCACCCCATCTCCCACTCTGAGGGAAGTTCCATGCATGTTTTGCTTTCTCCACAGGAGACACTGGCACCCATGAAGCCATGGGCCCCGTTATCGTGGTTGCCCCGGGCAACAGAAGTGTGGTCGCAGGGTCCAGTGAGACTACCTTGGAGTGCATAGCCAATGCCAGGTATGGGTGTGCTCTGGGTGTGGGAACATGTGTGTGTTTGGGGGTGGAAGCATCCATCCTCTGGAAACCCAAACCTTGAAATACTTCAAAATCTGGATCTTTGAGCCTTGATGCAAAGCCACAGTGGAAAATTTGAACTTGATCTCTTGTGCGTGATGGGTTAGAGTCAAAACACGGATGCACTAAAAATACAGCTAAGTGTGTAAAGGGCAGACGAAGCACGAATGAATTTCATGTTGAGACTTGGGTCCCTTCCCCATGCCATCTCACTATGAATACGAAAATACTCCAGAGGAGGGGAATCCAAAATGCAAAGTACTCATGATGGTGGGCCTTTCAGATAAAGGACAGAGAACATGGACTATTGGCCAGGGAGCTGGCGCAATCAGTAAGGTACTCACCACACAAGTGTGAGGACCCAAGTTCGGTTCCCCAGCATCCCTGTAAGAGCTGGACATGGTATCTCACTGCTGTAACCCTGATATTGGAGAGACAGAGACAGGAGGATGGCGGGGGTCTGCTGGCCAGCCAGTCTAGCCTGCCTATACGTCAAGTTAGTGAGAGACCCTGCCTCAAAAAATAAGGTGGCGAGTGATGAGAACAACACCCACACTGACCTGCCTCTAGCCTTCACATGCACATCCACACACGTACACTCACACACTCAGAGGAGAAAGACCCTGCACTTCCATATCCTCCTGTGAGGAGATGCTGATGTGGGGAACAGCCAGTGAGCCCCACACTTCCCATTGCAGTGGGCTCGCCTATCCTGGGGCACTGCATGTCACATGTGGGGGGCATGCAGGGAACCTCCTGCTGGATGCTTCCTCACGCTGCCTCTGCAGCAAATGGAGCTTTTCAGCTTACCTCCTGGTGATGGAGAGTGCTCCTCAGCAAAAATGACCCACGCTGTGGGGAGAGCCTTCCTGAGCAGGCAAGGAGAGCTAGCTCCTCTGGCCCATGTAATCCCAGGCATGCCTACTTCCTGGGCACTCCAGGCTGAAGTTTAGATGGCAACACCTCCCATGCAGCTGTGGGTCCCCTAGTAGTATTTATTTTAAGCATTCTTTTCCTGGGCAAATGGAATCCTTAGCATGTACGGTCCATTGCTGCCGCAATTAGCTATCCTTGCTCAATAGCCCTTGAGCAGAATGTCTCGTTGAGGCGAGCCGTGAAGGAGGGGAGCTGGATCTGGATTGATTCTTAAATGTCCATTGTTCAACCCGCCATGGTTCCTGGTAGAATTAGCCTTGTCGGGCTGGTGCTGAGTGCCTGGAACTATCGTTACCGTCGACTACTGATTCACCACTGTCACCGATGCCCTGGCTCTCTCGCAGGCCGCTGGAGGAGCTGAGCGTGCACTGGAAGAGAAACGGGGTCCGACTCACAAGTGGACTGCACAGCTACGGGAGGCGCCTCACCATCGTCAACCCGACATCAGCCGACACCGGGATGTACCTGTGCGAGGCGGCACTCCGGGGGAGCGCATTTGAGCCCGCCAGGGCCAAAGCCTTCCTTTCCATCATAGGTAATGCTCGCTGGCGACGGTGCCAGCTGCATCCCCGAGTCACTCTCCATACCCACAGCTCCAGGCGGGCAAGATGGCCGCTGTGCAGCCCAGACTCGGGACTTGTGCGTGTGAGCCACCTCTGCAATACATGTGGAAGCCGGAGGCTGATGCCAGCTGCCTCTCCTCTGCTGCCTTCCAGCTTAGTTTTTTTGAGATGGGGTCTCTCTTTAGGACCTGGAGTGTGCCAGCTGGGCTAGACCAGCTGGTCAGCTCCCAGAAGCCCCCTGTCTCCACCCCCGCCCTGGTATTAGAGATGATCCATTGCTGCACCTGGCTTTTATCACGTTGCTCATGAAGCCATTTCCGTGGCTCCCACCAGCTTTCGATTTTAATTACATTGATGATCTATTGGTCGGTCGGTTGGTTGTGCATGTATGTTTGGAAAGGGGACGCTCACACGCCACAGGATGCATGTGGAGGTCACAGGGCAACTTGTAAGACTCAGTTCTTTCCTTCCACCACGGGATGGAACTCGGGTGGTGAGGCTTGGCTGAGCACGCCTTTCACAGGTGAGCGTCTCCCCCTCAGACTTTAACGCAGTAAACGGTGGCCTGGTAGAGTTTATCACCCAAGTCAGCCCCTTTGCTTTGTCGTCAAAGACCAAAGTCGGGATGTCTCTAGCCCCTTCCAAACACAGCTGTACTTCCTGTTTCTCGTGGCTGTGACAGAACGCCTGATAGAAACAACTCCAGATAGGACAGACAGTACTTTAGTTTACAGCCTTAAGGCTATTGGCCACCATGGTGGGGAAGGCTCTCTCTGTGGTAGCCCCTAAGATCTTGGCTCAGATCCCAGCAAGATAATAACCCTTAAAGTCCATCCCGCAGAACCAGACTCTGCCAAAAAGTTCTGAAATGTCCTAAAACAGCACCACCTTATGGGGACCAAACCCTGACACATGGAAGCCCGTGGGGGACATTTCACACTCAAACCATAGCCACCTGCCACCAGAAGGCTCAAGGGTGGAGACGGGCAAAGGACTCATCACTGACCCTGCCTGCATTGCTGGCCTTTCTCTCTCTCCAAACTTCTCCCTGAACCTCCTGGCTCTCACGATCTGGACTCAGAAGTCAGCCGATGTGACTTTGACTCGGAAGGAAATGGAGACTGCTGGCTGTTAACCTTTGGTTGAGCTGAAATGTAAGAACAGAGATAGTTTTTTCTTTAAGAAAAATAAAATAAAACAGGCCAAGTATGACCCGGGGGTGGGAGGGCAGATAGAGTTAAATGCACCGAGCTGGCGCTCTCTGGATCCTGGGAGATCACGCTCATAGAAGCGTGACTTGGGCTGTGGCTGAGGGAACTGTGTGCTTATCACTGGATTATGATATGGCATATTACGCTGGGAGGCAAGTAGCTCATTTTATTTTCCCAGCTTCCTGCGTGGTCACGAGTTTGTTCTTAAAATGGCTGCAGCTGCTGTCCTGGTGACCCGTTACTCCTCCGTAGAAGCTACTGCTGATAGAGGGTACCTCAAAGGTGGCTCACTCCCTCTCTTATCAGAAGTGAAAGGAGTTGAAAATGCATTTAAAAAACCCTCTCAGAAGAGCTGCTCCTTCAGTCTTAGGTTTTTTTCTTTTTTCTTTTTTCTTTTTTTTTTTTTTTTTTTGTGGCCATTTTGCAAAACAAGAAGAGAAAAGGCAGCAGATTCCTGTGCAGTCGGCCAGCATCAGGGAGCATTGCATAGAAGGCAGCTTCCCTGAGCATCCTCTGTTTGCTAGACATCAGGAGAGGGCTCTGTGCTCTCCATGTGCTGAATCCAGCCCATTGGCACCCTCCAGAGCAGGTCACGAGGGCCAGCAGAGTGTCTGAGCCAGGAGGAGAGTCACCCCTCACTGCCCTCCTACCTGAGGGCCTGAGCACGGCTCCACCTGCCACTGTTAGACATGGATAGGGAAATCACATCCCATTCTCAGCAGAGACTTCCATCCAGCTTGATCTATGACCGTCCGAGGATGGCGCGCTATAGATTGAGCCAAAATTAAAATTTGTGATGTGTAAATCTCTGCCAGACAGGACTATATTGTGTTAAAAAACACCTTAAGGTAATTTAAACAAGAGAGGAAATTTATCTCCCTATAAACTCAAATGTTTGTCTCCATCACCATTCCTTTCCCAAGTATTTAAATCGATCATCCTAACTTTGATCTCGAATTCATATCAGAATCAGTTTCTGTGTTTAGCGTACACCATCAGTCATGCTCTGACTCGTAAAGACACAGGAACATATTTCCATTCTTTCCTGTATGTGTGTGTGCACGTGTTCATGTATGTGTTGACACTGTCTTCCTCAGTCACTCTCAGCCTTGTTTTTGAGATTAAAAAAAAAAAATAGGTGTGTGTGTATGTGCATACGTGTATGCACGTGTGTGTTTAAAGTTGTCTGCATAAGCCCAAAGAGAGTGTCCGATCCTCTGGAGCTGGAGTCAAAGGCAGGTGTGAGCCCCCTGATGTGGGTGCTGGGAGCTGAACCCCGGTCCTCTGCCAGAACAGGACATGTTTGACCACTGAACCTTCCACCATATTTCCTCTCCCTGAGCCTGCGGCTTCCCACTTCATCTGGACTGGCTGGCCATCACGCTTCAGGGATCCTCGTTTTCGCACACACTGCATCCCTCGGTGCCGGGGTGGCTTTTTACGTGAGTGTTAAGGGCACAGTCAGGTCCCCATGCTTGTGCGGCAAGTACTGTCCCACTGAGCCACCGCCCAGCCTCGCTTTCTGTCTTAATGAGGATGGCTCGAATCCCCGTTAGTTTAGAAGTTGTTGTGACAGGTGGAACTTTGTGGTTGGGTCGAGCTGGAGAAAACCCTGAAGAAAGCATTTCTGTCGAGATTGTCACCACGCCCTGCCACCGCTAGGGAAGCGTGACCAATCTCCCAGGCTGTCACCAGCAGAGCTGGGCAGAGAGCTATTGATATGAGCATGCAGATGAATGAGTGCAGAGAGGAATTGCCTTCCAATTCCACGCGGATGAGACGAGACAGACGGTGGCAGCTGTTGATGCTGCCAGTCCGCTTCTGGTTGGATTGCTCAATTCCTGTAGTCGAAACAGGAATCCAGGCTCTGATAGATGGAGGGTGCCTGGCGCCCACCCTGCAGACCCCAGAGGCCTGTCCCCCAACTCCTCACAGCTCCATGGTCCTGCTGTCCCTGTGACTGGGCTTCTCTCCTCCTGACCTCTGCTATGAGGGCTTCCAGCTGGTGAGTCTCTGACTTGCTGTGGTACATGGAGTCCCCACTGTGCCACCACTGTGCCTACCATGGTGGGCGGGAAGCAATGGGCTGCCATGAAGGAAAAGCCCTGCCCCTGCATCTGCAGCTAGACTACAGGCTTGGCTACTGCCAGCACTCTTGTGCCCTGCTGGAGAGCGCACATGGCCTGCAACAGGCCTTGCCTCTGACTTCCAGCACCTTGGGGGCACAGTCTCTGCCTCTGCATCCCGTGTCTGGGCCCTGTGTCAGGGGAGGCAACCCCTGGGTATGCCCTCGGGCTCTGAGCAGCTGTCTGTGACTGACCTTGGCCGTCTATTCTTTAGCTTCTGGCAAGCTTGCTTGTCCATGAGGTTAGGTATCCTTCGAGAACCTTCCGGAAGTCACTGTGCAAGGGCCTCTCTCAGCTGCGCTCTGTGGCAGTTGGCACATGACAGCACAGTAGGTGGCCGTGTGCTATAAGCACAGGCTTCAGGGCTCACGTCTAACTGCACTGCTGACTGGCTTTAATGAGGGTCTCTGGTGTCCTTGGCCTTGGTTCCAATCCCTGACATGGAGGGGCGGTAGATAAGGCTACTGGCGCATACCGTGGCGGGGCAATGAGGCAAGCTCACCCCAGAAATGGTGAACGGACGATTCCGAGTGCTGCTGGCATGACTGCCGTAGCGTGCGTTACACCGCGCTGGCTATCGAGGATGTATGTCATGTTAACGAGGGTACGCATCACACTCTCTTCGCACTGACAGCCACGATGCTCGCACCACCCGTGGAAGCATTCGGTGCCTTCTTCTGGATACCACAAAGGATGACACCTGGGATGCTTAGCTTTAGCTGCCAGCGTGACGCTAGCGGAAAGCCACCTGTAGTGGTCTTCTTAAAAACTCTACTTTCGGGTGTTTCAGCCTCTACCTCCCTTCCACCAACCCCCCAACCTTAAGTAGGAGAAAGAAAAGGTTAGTGCATAGAGGGGGCGCAGACCCTTTACTTCTCCCAGGTAGTTAGAGTCAAGGGGTTCTTTTAGGGCTCTATGCCAGTGTCCGTCAATCACAGATGCATCTAAGAACTACACATGCGCGCAGTTGTCTCTGGTCCTGACTGTAGACGTGACGCAAGGAGCTGTCCCCTGCCACCTGTTCTTCCTTGCTATGGTGGACTGCGACCTGGAATTGTGAGCTAAGATAAATCCCATCTCCGCCAAGTTGCTTTTAGTTGGGGCGTTTTATCACAGCACCAGAAAGGAAACTAGGACCGTGACTTACCAGTGGCAGCGTCTTGGTCAGTATGGGGGACATTGTGCATCTTCTCCTCCCTACTGACAGATTTAGCATGGCCTGCAGGAAGCCCAGCTGTTCTGGGCCCGCCCCTACCAGTCTGCACAGGGTTCCTTCACACCCACCCTGGCACTGGGAGCAGGGAGTGGCTGTATTAGTTACTTTTCTCGTTGTTATGAGAAAGAAATAACTGACCACAGCGTCTTAAGGAAGAGGGTTTTTCTCTTGCTCACGATGTGGAATGCCCATCATGCTGGGCAAAGCGTGGCAGCAGGAGCGTGAGGTGGCTGGTCACATGGCATCCACAGTGGGGGAGCAGACAGACATGGATGCAGTGCCCAGCCTGCTTTCCGCTCTAAATCTAGCCCGGCCCCAGCCTAGGGAATGGCGCCAACCACACACATTCAGAGTCTGTCTCTGCTTCAGCAAAACCTCTCGGGGAATATCCTCGTGGACACTCCCAAAAGCACGTTTTCATGGCAATTCTAAATCCAGTCAAGCAGATGATGAAGATTGACCAAGGCAACCACCATTGCAGAGAACTCTGTTGTTTCTTGCAAAGCTATTCTGACTCCCTGAACACAGATCACTCGGAAATCCAAATGCTGTTTTGAAACAGAGGTGCTCATAGTGGCTGGCACAGTGTCACAGATGAGCAGCCGTTCTGCAACTGGCACTGAGCACCTACTAGCTGTTTGTATCTCTGTGTCTACTCCCTCTCTCCTTCCTTCCCTCTTCCCTTGATTCCTCCTTCTGTCCCCCCTAACCAGCCTCCCCTTCCCCATTCCTCCTTCCTACCGTCTGTCTTTCCCTCTCCTTTCCTACTTCCTTCCTCCCCCCTCCCTCCTCCTCACCCCTTTCTCCCTTTCTTTATTCCTTCCATCTTCATCCGCCCTGCCTCTCGCCTCTCCTGAGTCCTCCTAGAAACAGTCCTGCTCTGTTCTGGCTCATGGCATTAGCCCCAGCCACTCTCACCCCTTCCATTTTAAGACTGGTGACCTTTATCCTGCCTGCAAGGTTCATCAAGTCACATGCAGTGTGCAGATTCCAGGAGATCTGCTTAGCCATCCTTGGGACCATTCCAGTGGACAAGGCACTCAGTTCGGACAGTGGCTGCAGACAGAGGCACAGGATAGCACCAGAGCTGAACCTCTAGAGGGAAGGGAAGTCAACGTGGGAAGTGTACTGCAAAGAATGAACCTGGGACTCAGGTGGAATCTGCCACCAAGCCTGAGGGCTGTACATCGAGGCCTGGGTGTGTGCCGACTGCCTCCGCTCAGGCTGGCTCTGCTAGCCAGAAGCTCTGCTTCAGGCCCCTAGCAGGCTGGCATGTGGGGAATTCAAACAAGGCCCCAGTTTGAGGCTGCCTAGGAGGGACCCTAACTCTGGTTCTGATACCACTGCTGGGCCACCTGTAGGACACCTGTGCTGGTTTTGTCTTTGTTCTGATTTCACCCAGGTCTTCTTCCGAGGTCTCCATCTTGTTTCTAAAGATGGAGGTGTCCGTTTTGATCCCTGGTCTTAATGGATACAGCTGTGGCCAGCATGCAATAGTTCATTAGCCTGTGCCACCTGGACATTCTCAAAGAGTCTCCCATTTGCCCAGACACAGCCCCACCCAGTTGCCCTTGGAAGGTCAAGTGGTAAAAAAAAAAGACGTGTGCCTTAGGTGACTGTCCTCAGAGTGTCTCTCTGCGGCCCAATCCTCATCCTGCAGACTGTGTGGAAACAGGCAGCGGGGGGGGGGGGGGGCTGTTGAAGAAGTGCTGTGAAGAGGCCTGTGTCGCTGTGACAGCTCTAATGCCTGTCAGCTCACATAGCACATCAGGCTGCTCGGGAGGGTCACAGAGTTTCCTGGTGTCTCTAGGCCACCCTTCCCCACCTGGGCGAGAGAGGTATCCGTCTGGCTGTGTGATGTGCACCATAGCTACCTGGCCTCTGTCTGAGATGAGTGACATCCCCTCCTGCATGGCCATCCCCAGGACACTGTGTGGACTCGCTGATTCCATCCCCAGCCCAGGCGGAAGCTGAGGTTATACATAGCACCTAGGCTTCTTACTAAACTTTTAATGCTGTGCAAAGACCCCATGACCAACACAACTTATTTTTAAAAAGGGCTTATTGGGGAGGGGCTCAGTTTCAGGTGGTGAGTCCGTGGCCGTCGTGGCAGGGAGTGTGGTAGCAGGCAGGCGGCTCTTGGAGGAGCAGCTCAGAACTTCCTCACACCCTGATCCAAAAGCACAAGTCTGGGGAGCTGATTGGAGGTGATGGGAGGCTTTTGAAACCTCAAAGCCTGCCCTCAAGGACACACCTCCTCTAACTAGGCCACACCTCTTAATCCTTCCCAAATAGTTCCACCAAATGGGAATCAAGCATTCAAATAAATGAGCTCATGGGAGGGAGCCATTCTTATTCAAACCACCGTACTGTGGTCCTGGAATTGCTGAGCATCCGTGGTGTGTATGTGTATATGTTCTAAATTCTGTCTCCTATTGGACACAGAGTGAGGACAGCCACTTCCAAGGTGGCACGCAGCAATACTTGTTTACATAAACATTCTTAAAATGAAAAACTAACAAAAGTGGGGGGGGTTGTCCCTGGGCCGGACATGGGGGTCAGGATGAAGGAGCATTCTGTGTTCCACTGGTGTGTAGACACATGACCCCACATGTATGCTTACTGTGCATGGAACCAAACACATGTACACGCACACACAAGCAGGAGCATGAAGGGGCAGTGCAGATAAACTCTGCTGACCACAGGGGTGACATGATCAGATTTCGTTTAGGAAGCATTTCCAGGGGGACTCCGGAAGACATAAACAAGCTCTACACCCCAGGGCAGGCAACACACAAGGTCTAGCTTAATGAGCTGATAAGCTTCCGGGTTACTCACAGGACATAGGTGAGGGGTCCTCACAGGAGCAAGGTTGACCACCTCAGCAAAAAACATGCTATTGTGAATGGCAACTCCCCCATGGCCACACAGATGGGGGCCCCACTTCCATTAACTTTCCACTCTGTCACCTCTCACAACCAAGAGACCATGTTTAGCTGGGGCAGAATTACATGCCGCTAGCTGGGAGGTGCAGGGGGCTGAAATCTCAGACAAGGGTGTAATGACCTGCTTCCCCCTTCTACTGGGGAGTGTCAACAGGCACCTGAGGATGTCTTGGGGAAGTCACAGGTGCTTTGGTGAAGATGGCTATAGCTGTTACCTTGTGAGGACAGAGTTCCCCAGGGTAAACTGAGGAAAGTACATATGGGCTTTTCCCATCTTGTGTCTTGCAACTGCATGGAACTTTGCAGTTATCTAAAAATAGAATGTTTGACCGAGGAAATGGAGACTGTAATTAATCTTGAGCAAATGTTGATATTTAACTTAATTTTTTCCCTTTTGCCCTCACATCCCTTTAATCAGCTCATGATGGTAGCTATTGACTTTAGCATCCACTGATGAATATGGGCCGTGACCTGTGCGTAAGGTCCTCGACAGGCTGTACCGCTGCGGAGTTAGAACATAAATAGTGCTGCTAGCGTTACTATTGATCAGAGAGACGCGGCTCAGTGGGGAATATATGTGTGTGCAGAGACCAGCTAGGAACGGGGAAGCTTCAGATCTTCACAGCTCGTCTCCCGGCCCGCTCTAGTCATGAGACAGCTACCGGAGGGTTCTGCTCCCATCTGGTGAGCCCACAGCTGTCTCCACAGTGCAGGTGGATAGCGGGGGCAGGCGCTTCTGATCAGGAGGCCCAGGTAACTACAGAGCTGATACCCACTTTCGGCCCATTCAGAAACCTGCAGTCTTTTCTTGGAACTGGTATGTTTTCAGCTCTTTACCCGCTTTAGGTCCCACCATGGTTTTGTTTGTTTGTTTGTTTGTTTTGTGTGTGTGTGCTCTTTTTTTAAAGATGTAGTCAATACAGGAGACACACCAAGCCTTATTATCAGCATTTAACACTATTACAATGAAGAGGAGATGTCTCCAGAAATTAATTATCACGCAGAAAGTGAACACAGGAGCCTTTGTCATCGTGATAATGAAGCATGGCTGCCGCCTTAATGCTCCCGGGCCTGGCCGGGCCTCTGCTGGATTCTGCTGAATAAACTGCGAAAAATATTGCAATTTACTCTTCAAGGAAACTCATTGTCTCACACAACTGCTATTTCCTCTTGCCCACACAAGGGGAGAGGCTAGAGAATAGAAACATTCCCTGCTTTCCCTCCCTGCTCAAGGGGAATTGGAAGCTCTGTCCCCACCCCCACAGCCGCTATTGTTTTGCATTCCATCGAAGTATTAAATTTATGTTTTGGAGGAGAACTGCTAAGACTTAGGAAAAAAAATAAGTTAATAGGCTGCACTGTTCTTGATACAGGCCTGGCCCCTTGTTATAGGGCCATTCAACATGCCTCTTGGTTGGTGTTTAGCTTAGATATGGAGGCAAACTAGCCCATAAAGCACTGTGCTGTAAATATACCTTTATGAAGCTCTTGGGATGCCCTTTCTAAAATGTGAATTAAGATATTCCATGATTTCAAGCCTGTAAACTGAAAAGTAGCCATGGCCCTGACTTGCAATTTGCTTTCCGAAACCTTGGAATATAAATGGCCTTTGCCTGCTGCTCCCCAAATTTGAGTGTGTGGGTGTGATGGTTAGTAATGGTGACATGTTCAGAAAAGCAAATCTAAGAGCTCAGATCGGGGAATAAGGTAACAGCTCAGTCAATAAAGCACTTGCCACATATACAGGAGGACCTGAGTTCAGGCCCCAGCACGCACATAAAAAGCCAGCCGTGGCCTTGCACACCTGCAGTCTTAGGGTAGAGGAGGGTGAGGCAGGAGGATTCATGTCCAGCTTCAGATTCAGTGAGAGACCCTGCCTCAAAATATAAAGTGAAGGGCAGCTGAAAAGGACATTTGACATTGAACTGTGTCCTATACACACACACACACACACACACACGCAAACGCACACCACGCATAAGAGAGAGAACACACTGTGGTCCCTGACATCCTTCTTGTGCTGTTACTTTCTCACTGCTATGATAAAATGGTCCCACAAGAGCAACTGAAGGGAGAAAGGATTTACTTTGGCCCACGGTTTCAGATGATAGGGAAGGAATGAGAACAGGCAGGGAAGGCATGGTGGCCCGACAGAATGCTGGCTGCTGGCATTGTACTCAGACTCTGGAAGCAGAGAGTAAGCAGAAAGAGAGGTATGGCTGCAAAGCTTCAAGACAGCCCCTGGAGCTCACTTCCTCCAGCAGGGCTCCCCCCTTAGGGGCAGCACAACTTCCTTCACAGTGCTGCTACCTAGGCACCAAGGTCACATGTGCCTATGAAGGACATTTCATGTCTACACTACAACACCTTGACTTAGGGGCTGTTTTCTTTTCCTTGTTTAAAGAGCCGCCCTACTTCACTGCCGAGCCGGAGAGTCGGATGTTAGGTGAAGTGGAAGAAACTGTGGACATCCCATGTCGAGCCATGGGTAAGTATGGGACCCCAGTGGGGACCATGGTGAATGACAGTGAATGACCAGGAAGCCTCTAAAGCCTTCCGGGACAGTGAGCAGGAAGGTTGGGAACAGTGGATGCTGGGCCCAGGGAGCAGCCTGTCCCCTTGCTGAAGAAAGTCACAGTTGTGAAGATCTTGCTCCCTTGCTTTCTGCAGAGCAACCCAGGGGTGGAAAGATGTAATACCTACTTATCCCCAAGAAGGGGGAGAAGAGAAGGAAGCCCTTGCCCCTTGTCTGCCCAAGAGACCCTGTGACTCCCCTCCCTGAGTTCCCAGAGTGTGTGGATCTAAGACTGTGGCTCTCAGGATACCCGTCTCCATCCACCAGGAGATGAGGACTGGGGCCCACAGCCATCCATCCTCAAGAAGAGGAGAGTTTTTATTATTAATTACTTAGTTAATAAATTTTTAGACAGGGTCCATATAACCCAGGCTGACTTCAAACACTCTGTGTAGCCAAGCAGCTACATAGGACCTTGAGCGTGTCGTGATCCTCCTGCCTCTACCTCTCAAGTGCTGGATTACAGGTGTGAGCTACCACACCAGGCTTATACAGTGTTGCGGATGGAACTCGGATGCACACATCAGCCGAGCTCTCTGTCAGCCGAGCGCTCTGCCAACCAAGCTTCATCCTGGCCCCAGCATTAATTTTTTTTTTTTTTGAACAGGAGATATTCCTACCTTTCTGCCCTTTATCTCTGTGTCATTGTACCTTTCTCCTTGTGGCTCATTGTACCCATCATCCTGTCCATGACTTTACCATATGGTTGCATAGAGAGTTACATAACACTGCTCCCTTCCACTATGCACACGCGCAAACACACACACACACACACAAATTCTCACATGCATGTTCACAAATGCACACACACACACACACACACACACGTGCACACATTCCATAGGCTTTGCAAGGTAATCTGTTACCAAAACCACATACAAAAAGGCTCTTCTCCTGTCTGCTTAGACCTGGCATCATAAACATGGTTTCCCTCCACTGGGAGGGAAGCTTTGCTTTTGTGAGAAACAAGGACCCTCGCTTCATAATGAGAGTGCTGGAGAGCCAGAGTGGTGAAAGTGGAGCAGTTTATTTTACGATCTTGCAAAGGCTGGCATCACCCTATAGGAAAGGAAAAAAAAAAATACTGGACTCCCCATCCAATTGGTCCTGGGCTGGAGACTGTCTCTGTTTCTGAGCTGTAGGCTTAGGCATGAGGCTGACTGCCTGTGACCTTTCAACCCCACATGAACCGGCAGCACCTGAGCAAGCAGATACGAGCAGCTAGTTAGGGAAGACAGGGGACTAGTGCCTCCTGCTTGTCTGTGGCTCTGATGATCCTTACCTCGTACTGAAAAGCAGACCAGGCTGATTTATTCCCCACACTAGCAGTTTGGTGAGTGTTCCAGTTTTACAAGAGAGATGTCACCTCTCTCTACGCAGTTGAAACCTTGCTTCAGAGGAAGCACGGTTAAGTGAGCCTCCAAGATTAAACAGGACGCCTACTGGAAAATTGTCACTAGGTGTCTGGCACGTCGAAGCTGCTCACCAAATACTGGATTCATGGAGCATTGCAGCACAAGTTAAAAACCTGGTCCTTGGGCAGTGCTCCGGCCACGACAGTCAGACACCCTGAGACTAATGTGTAGGACTTAAAGCAGACCCACCTCCCTGGATTCAACCATGCCATCCCACTCTTCAGTTCTAAAACAGGCGGCGTGTGGCTCACAGCAGCTCTTGGTAAACGCAGAGTCGCCTCTGACCGGAAGTCCCTTCCAGTGATTCACATCACACCTGCACTTTGCCAAAAGACGAGCAGCCCCTGGTTCCCACTCCCCGTCACCCCGCCATGCTCCCTCTCTAAAACACTCTGCGTGTCTGCTCTCCTCAGCCGCAGAGGAGGAGCAGAGGGGAATGGCTCCGGCGTGGACTGGAGACACTTCTCCACATTGCGGTGGCTTTGTGCTCTTCCTCCCGCTGCGGCAGCCGCCGCCGGTGAGACGCAGCTCTGTGGATGAAAAGCTATGCATGCGAAGTCTATATTTTAGAAACAAGTGCATTCGCTGCTGCTGCTCCGGGGCACACGGTTCCCGTGTGACATTAAATTGCCCCCAAAGAAACACTCCCACCCTCCCATGTAGTAACTATTATTCTTCAATAAATGACAATCTTAACACTCTCCCTCCGTCAGGAGAATGCTCCCTCCTTTGCATAATTTCTGCAGGGGAAACTGTTAAGCACAGACTTGCAAATGTGTATTGAACAGGTCTTTCCAGGATGCTGCTCTGCCATCATGTGATTTACAGCTTTCTCTTAACTCTGGCAATGAAACGCACTGCATGGGAAGTTGCGGGGGGGGGGGCAGAGGGCGGGGAGGAGGTCCCCTGTGAGCTACATCATGTAATCACCATTATGCAGTTTTACATGAATTGCGTATGCTTTTACCTTGAAATGGATTTTAAAAAGTTGTCCTGATTTAATGAGAGGTGACAGGAGACGTAATTAAGGGAAAGAGCTGCCTGGGAACACATCATCTGGAATGCTCCCGACATTAGGGGACATTCATTCAAATGGGCCTTCTCCACCCACCTACGCTGAGACTGGAGTCTGCGTAAGCCTTTTGGAATCATGGCAAAACGTGTTTTTTAAAACTTTAATCTGATTCAAGATGCCCAGCCTGGAGGCACGTGCCTATAATCCCAGAACTCAGGAGGCAGAATCAAAAAGGCCAAGAGTTCAAGGCCATCCTGGGCTATGTAGCAAGATTTTTTCTTAAAACCAACCAACCAACCAACAACACAAAAGATGATTTTTATCTAGGGAAACTGAGGACCAAAAGCACCTGAACTCTGGAACTAAATCTTAGTATCTCCCCAGGATACTGCTCACAATGTGTTTCTGGAGTTTATGCCATAAAGGTTTGGGCTGGTTCTCTCTTGTAGAGCCTCTTACACACCCAGTTCTCTCCTCTGTCTTAGGTATGGTCCTCCTGGACTTCAGGAAGGTCAGAGATATTCCCCAGGACACTGTATTCCACTAGCCATGCACAAAAGCTTTGAGTAGAGGGCTCAAATGTTCCGTACTCAGGACTGGGCTGCCCCGGCAATGCATTGCCATTGTTCAGAGCCCTAGGCTCTGTGCCCTGACTGCCACCATGGAGAAGATGGGCTTTACAGTCCACACCTGCTGCTTAGGCTGCAGGCCGCCCCGTGCATACACCATCCAGGTCTTAATGTCCACATGGAAGCCAGGCTTTGCTTCTCACTGACATAACACAGGCAGAGAAGGGAAAGCTAGGCAGGGCTCTGGTTCTGAGGCTGTCTGGTCCCCAAGTCCTTCTAGTCTAGTACCCTACCATGTTTTCAGCTTGCTTAGCTCTTGAGGTGCAGGACAGGACCTCCTGCACCCCCTCTTCCTGAAGTCACGAGGCTCTTGGAGAGACAAAGCAACTTCTTCAGTGCCCACAAGCTGACACCTTATATGTTCCCACCATCGTTAAGGGCATCCCAAGGTTTCCGGGTCACTCCCCCAGCAATACAGATGTCTTAAGGTCGTTGACATCTGCTGATTCACATGACTCGGAGGTGTTTGAAGTGTCCCCTGCCCCTGCTCTGTTGCTGCTTGCGGTGCCTGCTTGCCGTGTGCCTGGCAAGAGTTACGGACAAACCTGTCCAGTCTTCACAGCCTTTGGTGCCGTGTTATGAACTTTCCCGTTACATTAGCGACTCGTTTCATTGCCTGTGACTAAGTGGCCGGCAGTGTGAGAGGCCAGTCCATCGTGGCAGGGAAAGCATGGCAGCCAAGAGCATGATGTGTTCACAGTCAGGAAGCAGAGGGAAGTGAGCGCTGCTGCTCAGCTCACTTTCTGTTTCTACTCAGTTAAGGAGCCCAGCCGGTGGGATGGTACTGTCCACATCCAGGGAGGGTCTTCCCTTCAGTCAACCTAGTCTAGACGCTCCAGTGACCCTGGACCAGCCTTCCAAGCCATCAACCCTGTCCTAAACTCAAAGGCCGTTACAATTGAAAGCTGTCCAAATGAGTGCAAACCCGGGGTCCTCGGGTGAGCGTGGGGAGGACCCGTGGCCCTTGCTTATTCCTTCTTCCTCTCCAGAGTGCCCAGAGTGGGTTTCCTCATGTAAGATGAGGAAGTGTCCCAGTAGATGGAGCATGGTGCGAGAGGGCTGCCTCATGAGGCTCTGAAGCCACGTGGCCTTTCCCCTCCTGCAGAGAGCTCCTGGAGTATAATGCTCCCCTCTATTCCTATCCAGGGGTTCCCCTCCCCACCCTCCAGTGGTACAAAGATGCCGTCCCCCTCAGCAAGCTCCAGAACCCAAGGTACAGAGTGCACCCCAGCGGAGGCTTACACATCCAGAAGCTGAGCCCTGAAGACTCCGGAATCTTCCAGTGCTTTGCCAGCAACGAAGGAGGGGAGATCCAGACCCACACCTACCTGGATGTGACCAGTGAGTAACACGTGTCGGCATGGCCAGCCTTCAGGTCTGCGCTCCCCGCTCTGCCCACATGTGGGGCAGTAGCATCCTGTCAGCTCCTGAGATGAGGGAGACCCATGCACTATCACACCTGTGAGGCTTGCTCTTTGGGGCGGAGATGGTTTTGGTGTTTGTTTGTTTGTTTGTTTGTTTGTTTGTTTGTTTGTTTTTAATCTCTCTTTTTAGACAAGTAGGAAAACATTTCCAACCCACCCCCAACCCAATACTCGCATGCTCTGAACAGAATCAGAAAGACTATCAAGTGCATGGCACGCCACTAATCTTTTTCTTTTGATCTTTTTTCTTCTCCATTTAAAAAGTATTCATTCTCTACTTTAGTTTTATTGAACAATTATAGTTCTTTTGTGGGTTTCTTTTATTATCCCATTAGCGGAAATACCTTGGCACCCTGTCTTTGAAAAATAAAATAAAAGTGCAGGTTCTCTCAGTATCTGCAGGTTTTCTTTCTAATCTCCCGCAGCCGTAACATTGTTCTTCTGAAATGAAATGGAATTTAGTGGTTATGGAATTGCACCTTTCAGGTTTGCCCTTTCAGAGGCAAAGCGCTGATATCACAGGTGTGCATGCCACTAAGGAGTGTGGCCTCGGGTACATGGGGCTGGTGGTTCCCTGTGCTGTGTGGAGAAGTGGCCAGGATCCTAAACTGTGTGTGTGTGGTTTGGTAAACCGGGAGCTCACTGTCCTTGACCCTGGCCAGGAGTCACATTTGCCCTCCATGGCAGAGTACAGGGCACCAACCTTTCTCTGAGCAGTGGGAATAACATTGGGTGTTTAAGCCAGAAACTGCGCCTGCATCCGTTAGAATGATTTAAGACCTATCTTGCCGCTGTGGCCAGGGTGTCTGAGGCAGAGACCGACTGGGTAGTTTGGGCTTGTTTGTCTTCTTTGAAGGGTCTGGAAATGGATGCTGTAGTCTTAGGAGGGCAGGATCTATGTCACAGCTACCTGGCACAGAATGCATAGCCCGTGCGGGAGTGCACTCGAGGTGCCCGGATCCCCACCCCCCAGACCCTCCCATCGCGTGGAAAACAGGCAGGTGGCACTGCAGCAGGGCGGCTGGTGTGAAAAGACTGGGGTGTCGGCTGCACTGTCTTCCAGCACACCCCTGTCATGTTCCTCTTACTTGGGAGGCCCTCACACTGCATACCTGTCCCCGAGAGCAGGAGTTCTTAAACATGTATTTCAGCATTCAGGATGCCCTTGAAGTGTGGACACGTCATTCTACAGTTGACACGGTCTGTCACCTAAACAATGAAGCTGTTTTCTGTCGATAAACAGGCTTCCTGGGCCCCTGAAGGCCACACGGGGCATCCACTCCCCTTTAGACACCAAGCAGGGCCCGGTGACTCCTGGGAGACCCATAGCACAAAGCGAGAGCTGCTCCAGAAGGACTGTTGGTTTTGACATGGCATCTTTCCTTCTGATTGGTCCTGCAAGATCAGTGCAACCTCCAGCTGGCTTCCCGGGGGCGGTGCCACAGCTCACTGTCAACTCCTCCCCACAGATATTGCTCCTGCCTTCACCCAGCGTCCAGTGGACACCACAGTTACTGACGGGATGACGGCTGTCCTGAGGTGTGAGGTGTCCGGGGCTCCCAAACCCGCCATCACGTGGAAGAAAGGCAGGTGTCTCTGAGCGATGTCGCTGGTGTGGAAGACACTGGACGTCGGCTGTGTTGCCTTTCCTTCTCACTCAGTTGTTCAATGAAGACCCAGTAACATATATGGGATGCCCGTGCCAGGAAGTAGATGCAAGGGTACCGCGTGAACGAGACGGGGACCCCAGGAGTCTGGAAAACTTGGGAACTGGGGGAATGGTTCAGTCAGGAAAGTGTCTGTGATGTAAGCATGAAGACTCGAGTTCAGTCCCTGGTACCCATGTAAAAAGCTGTGTATGTGTCATCCTGGCCCGGGGGAGGCAGAGACAGGAAATCCTGGGGGCTTGTTGGCCAGACAGTCTAGCTAAGTTAGTAAACCCCAGTTCCTAGCCATAAACCCTGTCTCAAACGAAAAGGACAGCCTTTACATACATGCACACCATTTACATGTGAACCTGTACATACACACATGGGCATCCGCACACACACACACATACACACAAACCCCAAACACCAGTGTTCCCCAACCTGTGGGTCATGACCCCTTTGGGGATCAAATGGTCTTTTCACAGGGGTCACTCATAGCCATCAGAAAACACGGGTATTTGAGTTATAGTTCATAACAGTAGCAAAATTACGGTTATGAAGTAGCAATGAAAATAGCTTTATGGTTGAGAATCACTACAACATGACAAACTGTATTAAAGGGTCACGACTTTAGAAAAGTTGAGAGCCACTGCCTTACACACATACAGTTTGTTTTTTAATTAGCAAACTCAGTGGGAATTACAGGATAGTAATAGCCACATAAATATGGCTGCCCTCTACGTAAGCCCTCGGCAAGCGTCTTCTGTGCACAGGGGCTCCTGGATGTTAAGCCCTGGTTGTGAAGTGAGCATGAAAGCAGTCGCCTGAAGGCCAGTATTCCGTACGCAGCTCAGAACCTGTCTAACAGAATCTCACAGTGCCGGGAAGCTACCATGTCTCCGGCGCTCGCGATCCTCAGTGATGTGAGGGAATCATGGCAGCTGTTTTGCGCACAGGATGTTCCCTGTGATTGGAGGATGGTCTCGCCAGCTGCTGCCATCCCTCTCCTTCCCGGCGAGCTGCTGGGCCTCTAATGTTCCTCTTTCCTCTTCTGCTTTCAGGGAACCACATCCTGGCCAGTGGCTCTGTCCGGATTCCTCGGTTCATGCTGCTGGAATCCGGGGGGCTGAGGATAGCCCCCGTCTTCACCCAGGATGCTGGCAACTATACCTGCTACGCAGCCAACACCGAGGCCTCTGTGAACGCCACAGCCTCGCTCACAGTGTGGAGTAAGGACGTTCTCTGAGAGCTTACTATGAACCCTGCTCTCACCACAGGGCTGTCCGGAGTCCCAGAATGTCAATAGCCCTCAGGTTTTCCCACTTAATCCAAAGAAATGGTTATCTTCACAACCAGTTTATAGAAATCGGTTGAGTAATTAACTGTTCTATTTCTGAAAGAATAATTAGGAGACGTATCCAGAGTTTCAGTGGGGCTATTTCAAGAGCAGTAACAAATCGACTTTCTAAAATCCGTAGACTTATTATATCCAGCTGGCTGGAATAGCTAAAGTAATGTTTTGATTAATTTTATAAGAAAATTGAATCAATCCATTGATAGCCTAAAGAAAGTAAGTTGGAGACTAAAGAGATTGCTCCGTCAATAAGATACTTGACCTGAAATCATGAGGTCATGAGTTTGATCCCCAGCACCCACATAAAATCAGGCATATACTTGTAACCCCAGTGCTATGGAAACAGAAGCAGGAGGATGGCTGGGGCTCACAAGACAGCCCGTCTCATCTGTGCTTCAAGTACAGTGAAAAGACACCCAGCATTGACCTCTGACCTCTGCATGCACACAAACACATACATGTGCACACAGTCACACACACACACACACACACACACACACACAAACAACTTCTGCTCATATTTGGCATTTTCCCCCATGCCGTCACTGTACATTTTGATAAATGATCTTTTTAATGGAATTTTTAAGATTCTGTTTTTGTTTGTTTGTTTTAATTATACTTATGTCCGGGTGGCAGATGGGCCGAAAGGGGCCTTTGACTCTCTGAAGCTGGGATCTCAGACCACTCACATGGGTTCTGGGAATTGAACCCAGTCCCCTGCCAGAGCAGAGTGCACGCTTAACCACCGAGCCATCTCTTCAGCCTCAAACAACCCTTTAAAAAAATTTATTCAGTAGTCTCAAAGCATCGAGTTTTTTTAAAACTGCATTTAAATTCCTACAGTATTGACAAAGTACTAAAAAAGAGGCTTCATTCTGTTTGAAAGTCGGAGTCAACCGGGTCTCATGCCTGAAGAAACATTAGCCTCACATTTACAAGCTTGTGGAAAAGGGAAAAAAATAAGGTCTGAGTCTCTATAGATCACACTCCAGAAAGTTCCGTGGATCTGTTGAGGACCAGAGTTAGGGCCATGCTAAGCTAAGTGGCAGTGAATCAGCTCAGTGGCCACTAGACTTGCCCCGCTTTCTCAGCCTAGCTGTTTGTAAAATCACCGTGGGGATAGGCATCCATGCTCACTCTCCAGAATCAGGAGTGGTGGCAGCCACCCCAGGTTTACACTCTTATTAACTCAGTCGGCACAAATGAAGTCACCTTCCAAAGTCACAGGCTGCTGCGTGGACACTAGAGAGGTTTTAAGACAAAATTATCCTAGCAAAAAATATAGATTTTATTCGCATACTATTTATTTACTTATGCATTCATTTACAGCACCAAGGGTTAAACCTACGACTTCCACCACTGAGCTATCTCCAGCCCCTTTTTAAACCCTTTCTTTTGAAATGGAGTCTCATAATCCTAGACTACTCTTAAACTTATCCTGTAATTTGCAGACCATGAACTCACTCCATAGCAACCCAAACTGGCCTTGAATGTGATGCTCCTGTCTCATCCTCCCTAGTACGTGGAAGGACAGGCCTTCATCTCCACTAGTTTAAGAATCCAGATTTTAGGCTGTAAGGACTACTCAGTGTAGTGCTTAACCTGCAAGCTGGAGGACCTGAGTTTGGTCCTCAGAACCCACACAGAATTGCTGGGAGCGCTGGCCCCAAGCTTGTCAGTGATGGGGAGTGTGAGGCAGGCAGATGCTGGGAGCTTGCTGGCCAGTAACCAGTGAGTTCCAGGCCAGTGAGAGAGCCCGTCATAAACACAAGGCAGATAGTTTCAGAGGAGCAACCCCCTGAGATTGGCCTCTGACCTTCACACATCCCCAAAACACACAGGGAGACACTCCAGAGAGTCCAGACCTTAACCTGCAGCACAGGACTGCACAAGGTCTGTCTGTCTCCTGGGGAGTTTGGAGACCTGGGGTGACTTAGGAGTGTGTGGGTTGGCTGGCTTTGCTGCCACACAGAGAGGCTTGTTTGCCATTCCCTGAGCACCACTGAGCACGTCCATTTACACCCCTTTTTGCCAAGATGAGAGAGAATTCGGAGGCTTTGATGTCAGATGACCAGTTCCTCATCCCCAGGGGGCACCAGTCGAACGCTGGTGATTTCATTGGGCTGTGACTTGTGTTGTTTCAGATCGAACATCCATCGTTCAACCCCCAGAGGACCGTGTCGTGATTAAGGGGACGACAGCCACGCTGTGCTGCGGAGCCACCCATGACCCTCGGACCTCTCTCCGGTCGCTTACCCTGTTCTCATTCTTTAGGACTTGTTAAGAGTCTCTGGGTTAATGGAGGGAAAGTTGAGAAGAGAAGGGAGAGCTTGGGAGGGTCTATTTTAGCAGCAGATCCCTGATGATGGCATCTCCCAGTGGCAGGCTCCATCATTAATCACAGGGATCCGTCTTCCATTCCAGCCTTATGTATTATTTACAGTGGGCTATGCTCCACTCCACGGCTTCAATACCGTTTTTTGTGATTTCCCTGCCAAGGTTAATACACTGTCTGTAAAACGCACTTGTCAGGGACTGATACTTAATGAGACAAAAATCCAGAGGGATGGAATAGGATTTCAGTAGTGTTGACATGGGAGCTCTGCAATGCTCAGGAGGGGTTTTCTATCCTGCAAGGATGGTTTTCATATATAGCAGGCAGAAGAAAGGCATGCGGGTGTCCAAGGCAGTAAAGGGGAAACGGGGGGGGGGGGGGGCAGGCGGCTTGGAGATTCCCCAGTGCCAAGTGGGACACTATGTAGACTGGAAGTTGATGATGATAATTGTGATACTTGGGCTGGCGTGTGGCTCAGTTATAGAGTGCTTGCCTGGCATGCATGAAGCCCTGGATTCCATTCCCGACACTGCATACACTGGGCATGGGGGTGCATACACTGGCACTCCAGAGGCGAAAACTGAGGGTCAGAAATTGAATGGTGCCCTCAGACACATGATTCAAGGCTAGCCTTGGTTACAGGAAACCCTGTCTCAAAACAAGAACAAAGCTGGGCATGGTGGCGCACTCCTTTAATCCCAGCACTGAGGAGGCAGAGGCAGGGGCATCTCTGTGACCTGGAAGCCAGCATTGTCTACATAGCAAGTTCCAGGACATCAAGGGCTACACAGTGAGACCCTGTCTCAAAACTAAAACCCCAAAAACGGGTCATTTCAGGTAAGAGTCCGGCTGCAGACAGGTGTCCCTCAGCCATGAGCTTTGCCTCAAAGGGCAGAATAGATGTGAGTTTTCAGAGTCAACCCTGAAAGCAAATGAAGCAGGAAGGCAGGGATGGAGAGAAACACACCACAGGGGCATTGTCATCCTGCCTTGGTTCTGAAAGGCAGCACTTCACCGAGGGAGGGACGGGACTCACTCTGAGCAGAGGGGATGGCTCTTGAAGCACACTCTGAGAACTGCCTTCAGAGACTTGACCCTTCCCTCCCTCTTCAGTGCAGGTGTTTGGCAAACCATCCATTTCCATGTCGCCCCTGACCCTCCAGAGTCTCCAGGGCTGGGATGTAAGTGTGTGCTAATTCCAAGAACAGCAAATTCGAAAACCAAAGGAAGCAGCAAGTGAAGGGTTAACTGAGGAGAGCCTGGGAGGCCTACCCAGAGATCTCTTTCACACCCAGACAAGAATTCTTTTATTGTAAAAGTGACAGGATATGAAAAACAAAACAAAACAAACAACAACAACAACAAAAAAAAAAAAAACTTCCAAGAGCTCAGCAGCAGCCCCTGGGATGGTCCCTTGGCAGCACCAACATGGTTATTGGAGGAGACACCCTTTCTGTGAAGGACGTGGGCTGTCCCCACTTTGGAGGGCCATCCCCACCTCCACCCCGCTATACAGGGCAATCTGTCCTTTCTCTTCAAGTGGACTCTTAGCTGTTGTCTCTTGTGCTGGAGAGTGACCTCCTGTGACCAATTCACAAAGGTCTGTGCTGTGAATATTCAGGGCAGAAGGGGCCAGTACATTTTCAAAATGTGATCATATTATTCTAATAAAGAAAAGCCAGCACTTCCATCTCGCCCAGCCATAAGTAGGGGCCCTGCCCAGGGACATTTAGGGCTGGACAGGCTCTTAATTGAGTCTATATTGGAAAAGGAAAATGTGCCAAAATGGTCATAAAGATTAAATGAGGAAGGAAGGTGGCGTCAGAGCCCGCCTGCCTGCCAGGGTGGTGGGCCTTTAGCAGTCAGGTTCTGAGATGCAGTGAGCTTTGCTCCGGGGGAGGGGGGGTGCCTCTCTGGGGCTCTTTAGCCAGCGTTCCTGAGGCAGGAGAGCTGGGTGTCTTCAGTTCCGTAGGTGACAGGACTCGGAGTCCCCGTCTCGCAGACACTTGCTCAGACACTTTCACAGTTGTCTTCATTGTCCTATTTGGGGATTGTGTTCGTTGGACCTGTGTGTTGGGGGTGGTGTATCTGTGGTGCACTTGTATGGAGGTTGTGTGTGTTTTGTGTACAATGGTGTGCACAGACATGTGGGGCCAGAGGTATATGCTGCTGATGCATCCCCGCTTCATTGAGATAGGCGAGGTTTCCTCCAAACCCAAATTCAGCCAGTGGAGGGGGCAGCTTGTTGTGGGAGTCCCTTCTCTTCCTCTGAGTGCCTGGATTACAGCTGCGCCACCATGGCCACTCAGCTTTCATGTGGGTGCTGGAGAGCCGGACCCCAGACTCAATGATTGTACAGAAAGCACTTCACACACTGAGCCATTGCCCAGATCTCCACCTTGTTTTGAGACAGGGTCTCTCTATTAACCTGGAGCTGATTGGTTCAGCCAACGTGGGGGAACAGTGACCCCTGGGATCTACCTGGCTGCTTCCCTAGTGCTGAGACGACTAGTGTGTGCCAGTACCCCCAGCCTCTAATTCGGATTCTGGGGATTGCAGTCGGGTCTTTCTGAATGAGCGGCAAGCTCCTACCAACTAAACCACCCCTCCAGCCATCACTGTCCTGCTTCAGTCACCAAAGCTTCCCTGAGCTTTTATGGTAACCCAGATATCTGTCTGCTCCCCACCATACCATATAGCTCGCCTTTTAAAAATATTTATTTTTATTCGTGCGTATGCGTGTGCATGCGTGTGTGTGTGTGTGTGAGAGAGAGAGAGAGAGAGAGAGAGAGGTGTCAGATCCCCATCCCTGGAGTTCTAGGTGTTTGTGAGCCATCTGATCTGTGGGTTCTGGGAACCAAACTTGGGGCATCTGGAAGGGCAGTACACACTTAACCACCGAGCCATCTCCCCAGCCCCAAGCTCATACTTCTCAGAAGTGTAACTCGGTAATTTTTACTGTTCCCCAACACGCCAGCTGCTTGCACCTCATTATGAGGGAAGGGCGGGGATCCCACTCCCGTGGGGGGTTTGTGACCAGCCCTCTGCTTGGCCCACAGCTACGTTTGGAAAAAGGACAACGTGGTCATCACACCATCCAGCAGCTCCAGGGTCGTGGTGGAGAAGGATGGGTCCCTTCTCATTAGCCAGACGTGGTCAGGGGACATCGGGGACTACACCTGTGAGATTGTCTCTGAGGGAGGAAATGACTCCCGAACGGCACGGCTGGAAGTGATGTGAGTACTGAGCCTCTCTAGTCTTTGCACGGCCATCATAACCTATGCATGCCCACATGCTGTTCCAAGCCATCAGCCTGAGGCTGGCACAGCCCACCATTCAGCTGTGTATGTTGAAAGGCCTTTTCCCCCCTTCTTTCCCACCCACGTGTGTATTTGTTTGTGTACACGTGTGTGCATGCACATTTGGAGAGATACATGTACCTATGTTAAGGATAGGGATGCTAGGTGTGACAGTCAGAGGTCAACCTCAGATGCCATTTTTCAGGAGCTATGCAACTCCTGTTTGTTTGACACAGGGTCCCTCACTTTTATCCGGAAACATTCTGAGATGGTTAGTCTGGCTGGCCAGGGAACCCCAGAAATCTACCTGCCTCCAACTCATCTGTGATACGGTTACAAGCACATGCGACATTTTTGTTCAGGTCCTAGGGGTCAAACTCATGTCTTCATTCTTGCAAGGCGGGCCCTTTACCAACTGAGCTATATCACCTTAGTCCCGTCTCTTTTTTTCTTTTTATTCCTCCTCCTTCCTTCACCCCCTCCCCCGTCCCATTCTCTTTGTGGCTTCAAAATGTTTCATTCCTACATAGATGAATTCATGGTCCCCATGAATACTTCACATTTCCTGCATACACGCCCAATCATTAAGGGTGTTTACCTCATTGCCATTACATAGCTATGAGTTCTACATGATTGCCCAACAGAGTTTCTGAGTGGTAAAAACCTCACGTCATCCTATCCAGAAACCCAGAGCCAAGCTGCCAACTAGACCTCCAAGTTAAGTCAGCCCAGATGACACCATGAAGTCCTTTACAGTCTTTAAGACAGCAACCAGCTTCCAATCTAGAGCTCCCCTTGGGTCCTGGGCTGGGGTGGGGGCCAGAAGCCCTCTCTCCCCTCTCTGTGCCCCTCTCTGCTCACAGAGCAGGGAGCTAGCTGAAAGGCCTGCTGGCAACGCCCCCCTTTTTCAATGTGTATTTATTTTCTGTATAAAACATGCCCTCCCAGAAGGTCCCTGAGCACACAGGCACAAAATGTAACCGGCAAAGAAAGCATCGAAGCCTCACTGTTGCCAGGGCGGGAGCCAGGGCCTGATGCCCAAGTACACACCCATCCCGGCCACGGCAGTGCATGCTGTGCTGTCAGAAGGCAACCATGAGTGGTTTCTCTTGCAGGTCTGCCCTAGAACACAGAAAGCATCCCCTAAAAATAGCATCACTTTGCATCCAACCTGGAGTCTCATTTGTCTTTGAGTCCCCAGCATCTGCTAAAGGGATTAAGGATGAAGAGAGCGCCTGCAGAGAGCCACACTAGGCCTTCTGTGTGTGTCCGCTGGACTCAGGAATGAGCAGGTGCCAGCTCTCCCACTCAGAGGAGTTTAGAAGGTCAATGAGTGTGCTGGAGAGATGGCTCAGCAGCTAAAAAGCAGTTGCTGCTTTTGCAGAGTTCAGATCTCAGCACTCACATTGGGTAGCTCATGACCACCTGTAAGTCCAGCTCCAGGGGATCTGACGCCCTCTTCTGACCTCCTCCAGCACCCACACACATAAGGCATACACACCTGCATAAGAGATAAATACCAGAAGTTTAATGAAGGGGCTGGGCTGTGGCTCTATGGGTAGTACATGCTCTTGCCATGCGTGTATGCAAGTATGCATGCACACACTGAGTTTGGATATGCAGCAACAATAATAAAGCTAGGCACAATGTCCACTTATAATCCCAGAGCTAGGGAGGCACGACAGGTGGGTCGCTGGGGCCCGCTGGCCGGGCAGTGTATCAGAACCAGTTAGCACAGTTAAGTAATAGATGCTGTCTCAAATAATGAGAGAGAGAGTGATTGAGGAAGATATCTGATGAAACCCCTAACTTCCACATGCACACCTGCACACACACACACACACGCACACACACACAGAGAGTTAATGATGTGTAGCACCCAGTCCTGGAACTGAAACTGTTCACCCATTCCCCCTGCCATCTGTCCCTTTCCAGGGTGACTCTGATTCTCCTTAGATGCTGGTCATCCCTGGGGAGTAAAGTCAAGGTGACCCTGGAGCCCAGTGTAGACCTTCAGAGCACCTGTGGGCCCCACGTGGCGTTGGGCAGCCAGGGTCTTCTCCCGTTGGCACTGAGGCCCTCAGACCCCCGAGCTCTCTCTGCCCTGCCCTGTCCTCAGGCCCCTGCTGCCTCCATGGTGTGGCTAGGGTCTTCTGCTGGTGTCACCCCAGGGCTCCTGCTTCTCTATGCTTTAGCATTCCGCCCCAGGACAGTTTCCTGCCGTTCAGTCACAGGCACCTCCCAGTTTCATGCTGGCCCACCCTCCTCAGAGCATCAGACACGCTGGGAGAGGGGAGGCTACCATCTCAAGCCCCTTCCTTCCAGAAGTCCCTCGGCAGTGAATGTGTGCATCCCGGGTGCCTGGCATACAACAAGTGCTCAATTAATGCACACTGACTGCTTGTCGGCTGGAGGCAGGTAGGAGTACATTGATGAGTATGTGTTTCGGGCCACTGACTGGCCTCCACGCCCTCGTGCCGCCAAGGCGTGGAATGAACATATAAGGCACCACTGTCTATCAAAAGCCCAGCTCTGTTGCCCCCCTCAGCTCAGGAATTTTTTTTTTACTTTTTTTTTTTTTTATTAATTACACTTTATTCATTTTGTATCCCCCCCATAAGCCCCTCCCTCCTCCCCTCCCGGTCCCACCCTCCCTCCCCTTTCTGCATGCATGCTCCTCCCCAAGTCCACTGATAGGGGAGGTTCTCCTCTCCTTTCTGATCTTAGTCTATCAGTTCTCATCAAAAGTGGCTGCATTGTCCTCTTCTGTGGCCTGGTAGGGCTGCTCCCCGCCTCAGGGGGAGGTGATCAAAGAGCAGGCCAATCAGATTATGTCAGAGGCAGGAATTTTTTAAAAATCATTTTGATGATGTTGGTGAACTCAGCCAGTGAAATCGCATAATTCTCCATGCTATTCACATTTTTTAAAAACTACCTTTGAGAACTCTTAGATCATCCAGCCCAGGTATCAAATAAATAAGTGTTAGCAGTTCATAAAGACCCTGTCAGCACCAGCCCAATCGCATACTTCCAGTGCGGCACGTTCTTTTTATTCTGTGCCGTTTTTATGTTCCGCTGATTTACATATCTTCCCCACTATTTACTTATTTGATTTCCTCTAAGTAAAATACATTTTTCAGCAAATGTTGCTGTATATATAAAATAATAGGCTTCCTGCAATGGTGAAACACCTCATCACTAAAGATAGAAATATTTGCAGATTTGTGATTCAAACCAATTTGGGTGCCACGGGCTGCGGAACTGATTCAGAAGGCTGTAGGCCCCTGGGAGTTACTGTTGTAATAAACACTGTACTCTTCCAGGTCGGGATGAGTGGGGAGAGCGGTACACGGTTAGATCTGGAGAGCTCCTGGGGCTGGGGAGATAGTTCAGACGGGGAGATGCCAGCCAGGCAGGTACAAGGACCTTATATAAATGCTCAATGCCCTTATGAAACACTGGGCATGGCTATGAGTGCCTGTCATCCCAGAGCTGGTGAGGCAGAGACAGATCCGTCCTAAAGCTTGCTGACCAGCTAGTGCCTGCCATCCCAGAGCTGGCGAGGCAGAGTCAGACCGTCCCTAGAGCTTGCTGGCCGGCCAGCCTAGCTGAGTTGTGCAGCTCCAGATCCAGGAAGAGACCCTGTTTCCGAAAATGAGATGATAGCGGGCAGTGAGATGACTCGGGGGCCAAAGGTACCTGCCAGACAAGCCTCGTGACCAGAGCTCGGTCCCCACATCTAACAGAAAGGTGGAAGCAACGAGTCCGCTCTATGCAAGCTGTTCTCTGGTCTCCACATGCATACATGTTCACACACACACACACACACACACACACACACACACACACACACACACACTCACTCGTGCAAAGATCTGGGGACCCTGCAGCACCGGCCATGGTTAGAGGGTGATAATAGCAACCATTAAGAAATACAGGGCATCATGTGCTTCTCCAAGAGCCTTCCCGTCCAGGTCTGTCACATTTCCATGATTGCTCAGAAAGCAAATGAATGAAAAAGGAAGAAAAAGTGACTGTGCCGAACAATGTCCTTTCCAAAGCCCGAGAACCCCTTTCTCTCCACTCCAATTAAAAGCCACTTTGCCAAGTACAGGAATTGGGGCTGGGAGGTGGCTCAGTTGGTAAATTCCTCACCTTCCAAGTGCAAGGGCCAGAGTTTGATTCCTAGAACCCACATTAAAGAAAAACAAAACAAAAACAAAATGACAACAAGAACGGGCGTGGTTGTGCACACTTGGAGTCACAGTGCCAGGGAGGCAGATTCAGCAGGGTCCCTGGAGCCCACTGCCCAGCCAGCCTAGAGTGATTGGGGAGCTTCAGGCCAGAGAAAGACCCCATCTCACAAATCCACAAGTGAAAATGTCAACAATGCCTAAGTTTGACCTCTGCCCTTCATACACATGAATGCACACACACATACACACAGGCACACATCAGATACATGCACACACACACCCCTTCACACACATATGGGCACACACATCCACAAACATGCATATACATGCACGCACACACACATATAGATTATATTTATATATTGAGCATTTGAGGTGGACTTTTCAAAAACAGACCGTCCCGTGGGATGACCCATTCCCACTTGCTCCACGGTTGGTCTTTTCAGCATGGAGCCTTGTCTCTGGGAGACACTGGCTGAGTGATGCCTCATGCCCACCACACTGGTGATAAGGCTGCTGACTGCAAGAGAGCCCCAGGAGCTAGGCTGACCTTCCCCCCTTCCTGTGGGACTTGGAGCAGGCTGCCTGGTTCCTCTTCCTCTGTTGCCTCAGCTGACAGGCTGGAATGGAGGCTCTGACCTCACAGGCCTGCCATGGAATGGAGCCGGCCAGTGTGTCTCCAGTCCTGTATTGAGCCCAGGAGAAAAGGGCCTCTCAGGAACTCAAAGCTCATATGTTTCT